CGAATAGCCTTCCTTCGAGATCGACCCGAGTCGGGTAACTCGGTTATCCCTTGCCCATCAAATATATACTAAACAAATGGCGCCGTTGCCGGGGAAGGCAAGTAGGACGCCCAGTTTGCTATTTGATTGTCTCATTTTCTTGTGTTTCTCTTGATTTTTGTGATTTTGCTTAATTTTCGTGTTTCTCTTTATTTCTCTTGCTTTTTGTCGTTTATTTGTTTTTGTTACTTGTGTTCGACCTTGTTTCCCATTGATACGTTCACGGGTATAGTTTGTGGTTTTGTTTATGCAAGGTAGACGAAGAGGAAGACCCCGAAAGGAGACGCCCCCATTCGATCTCTTTGTTGAACTTAATATCGAAGAACCTCAACCGCAACCCGAACCCGAAATCGAACCGATGGCTGGACAAGAGAATCAACTTCCACAACCTCCCCCGAACATGAGGTACTTTGCACGACCGATTATTGGAGACAACACCTCGTGCCTCGTGCTCGGGGAGGCGGCCCGAAACTACGACCTTAAGATCATCCATCTAAACCAACTTCCCTCATTCTATGGCCTCGCCCAAGAAGATGCTCTTAACTTCATTCGAGACTTCTATGCAACCGTCAACACATTTCCCCTCCAAGGACTAACCGAGAATCAACTTCGAATGAGGTGTTTCTCTTACACATTGAAAGATCGAGCAAAAACTTGGTTCATGACGTTGATTCCTAATTCGCTCAACACGTGGGAAGCCGTATATGAGAAGTTCATGGGCAAGTACTACTCACACCAAAAGACCACCGATCTCCGGACCCAAATTGCAAGCTTTAGTCAAAACGTCGGGGAGACCTTTCACGAGGCATGGGAGAGATTCAAGGGGTATCAACTTCAATGCCCCCATCATCACTTTTGCCTCGGGTTACTAAATCAATTCTTTCTACGACGGTCTCCATCAAACACTTCAATACATGGTCGATCATGCGGCCGGAGGAGACATTGGGAGCCACACGGCCGAGGAGATCTACGAGCTTTATGAAATGTTGAGTGAGAATTCCCAACGAAAGAGCGTGCGTAAGAGGACCCCCGTGAATGAAGCTACCCCATCAACCGGGTCCTCAAATGACGCCGTGCTTGCAAAGTTAGCCTCGTTGGAGGAGGAACTTAAACAATTAAGGTTGAGAGATGTGAAATCCACTCAAGTGGTGATGGCCGAAGTTTGTGGTTGTTGCGGTGAGACGGGACATGGAGGCCATGAATGTCCACGCTATATGGAGTCGGGGTACGATCCTAATCTCGAAGGGGTCCCTTACGATATCAACGCCATTCAAGGATATGCACCCCGGGTTCAAAATGACCCTTATTCGAACACGTACAACCCCGGGTGGCGAAATCACCCCAACTTCTCATGGCAGGACCCAAAAGCGGGGTATGCACCCCAACCGGCTCCACAACAAACCCATCCCCAACCGGCTCCACAACAAACCTATCCCTAACCTCAACAATATGCACCCCCCAACAACCGTCCACCATTTCAACCGAGGCCCGAATTTCAAGGATATAAACCGAGGCCCGAGTTTCAAGGGTACCAACAAGGGCGTGGAGTATTTGTCCCGAGGCAACCAATGCCACCTCCACCGGAACCCGAAAAAGAAGTTAAGGCACCTATCTCGGACCCTCGAATTGACAACATGGAGAAGTATCTTCAAAGCCTCGCTACAACCGTGTCCACCCTCCATGAAACGGTCAAGGGCGTACCTTCAATCCAAGCTTCTCTCAAATGCCTTGAGACACAAATGGGGCAACTTGGGACGTCCATTGGTGAAATGCAAAGAAACAACAAGAAGGACCGACTCCCGAGCCAACCCGAGCAAGCTCAAGCCGTGACGGTCTTACGAAGTGGTAAAGTGGTGGATAATCGAGTTGAGATGCCTAGTGATGTGTTGATTGAGGATGTTGATGAAAAGGATGATGAGGAGGAGTTGAATGTTATGGCGGATTCCAGGAAGAACAAGAAGGTGATGATCGAGGAGGAACCAAAGGAGAAAACCAAACCCGATAGCCTTGATACTTTGCATAAGTCGGCTACACCATACCGCCCACCGGTACCTTACCCGAGTAGACTTCAAGACACAAAGAGGAACCGTCAATTCAAGGATCTATTCGACATGCTTTCTAAGGTAAATGTGAACCTTCCTCTACTTGATGTGATAAAGAATGTTCCGGCTTATGTTCAATTCTTTAAAGACTTCACCGGTACCTTACCCGAGTAGACTTCAAGACACAAAGAGGAACCGTCAATTCAAGGATCTATTCGACATGCTTTCTAAGGTAAATGTGAACCTTCCTCTACTTGATGTGATAAAGAATGTTCCGGCTTATGTTCAATTCTTTAAAGACTTGGCCTCGAAGAAGAGGAAGTTTGAGGATAATGAAAAGGTGATGATCTCCGAAGTTGCTTCCACCATGATTCCGAGAAAAGAATGTGATCCCGGGGTTTTTGTAATCAAGATAACCCTCGGAAACGGTAAAGAGACTAATGGAATGCTTGATTTGGGAGCCGGGATCAACCTTATACTATACTTGATTTTCAAGCAATTGGAATTGGGAGATCTCAAGCCTACAAGGATGTGTTTGCAGTTGGCGGATCGTACACTACGTTATCCGAAGGGTGTTATTGAGAATATTTTAATCCGAGTTGGAAATTTGATTGTCCCGGCGGACTTTGTGGTGCTTGACGTGGGAGAGGTCCCAAATACTGGGAATGAGCACACCATCTTGCTTGGCCGCCCATTTATGGCCACCACCAACACTCTTATCAATGTCAAAGACGGGCGAGTCACCTTATCGGCTCTTGGTGAAACGGTCACTTTTACAATGAGCGAGGCAAAGACAACACCGTCGTTCACCGAGAGTTGCTCATATGTTGATGTGATTGAAGCGGAAGTTCACAACCTTTTCTATGCCGATGTCTCTTGTGAGTGTGGAGTTCCCGACGAAGAGGAGCCGGAGAAGCTTGATCCCGAAGAAGAAGGTGTGGTGGACCTTATTGAGATCTCCAAAGAACCCGAACCCCAGGAAATTTCGACCGAGCTTAAACCGTTACCACCACATCTCAAGTATGTCTTTCTCGAAGAAAATGATAAGAAGCCCGCCATCATTTACTCGGGACTTTCGATTGAGGAGGAGAAATTACTTGTGGATGTCCTCGTGGCGAACAAAGATGCTCTAGGGTGGAGTTTGAGCGATATTAAGGGGATAAGCCCGGCCACATGTATGCATCGGATTATTCTTCAAGACGAGTCAAGGCCTATCCGAGAGGGTCAAAGGCGATTAAACCCAACGTTGATGGAGGTAGTGAAAGGAGAGATCCTCAAATTGCTACAAGAAGGGATCATTTATGCCGTGGCGGTTAGTGAATGGGTGAGCCCCGTGTACGTGGTCCCGAAGAAGAGTGGAATTACGGTGGTGGAGAACAACAAGGGCGAGCTTGTCCCGACGAGAGCCACTACGGGATGGCGCATGTGTATTGATTTTCGAAAGCTCAATGCCGCCACAAGGAAAGATCATTTCCATTTGCCGTTTATTGATCAACTTCTCGACAAGCTAGCCGGCCACCCCTACTATTGTTTCCTAGATGGATTGTCGGGATACTACCAAATCCCGATTGCCCCGGAGGATCAACCGAAGACCACCTTCACATGCCCGTTTGGCACTTTTGCTTTCCGGAGGATGCCCTTTGGACTTTGTAACGCTCCCGCCACTTTTCAAAGGTGCATGTTTTCTATCTTTTCGGATATGATTGGTGAATTTATTGAAATATTTATGGATGATTTTTCCATGTTTGGTGCTTCATTTCATGATTGTCTTGATAAATTGGGGAAAGTTTTGAATCGATGCATTGAGAATAACTTGACCCTTAGTCGGGAAAAATCACATTTTATGGTTCCTAGTGGTAATGTGCTTGGTCATGTCATCTCGTCTAAGGGAATTGAAGTCGATAAAGCTAAAGTTGATGTGATTGAGCAACTTCCACCACCCTTGAATGTTAAAGGAATTCATAGTTTTCTTGGGCATGCCGGTTTTTACCGGAGGTTTATCAAAGATTTTTCAAAAATTGCCCGGCCGCTGTGTGCTTTGCTTGCTCTTGATGTCCCTTTTGAGTTCAATGATGAATGTATGAATGCTTTCAATGAATTGAAGCATAGGCTAGTCACGGCACCCATTGTGATGCCCCCGAATTGGTCCCTACCTTTTGAAATTATGTGTGATGCTTCAAACTATGCGGTGGGGGCTGTTTTGGGGCAAAAGGTTGACAAACGTCACCACGTGATTGCCTATGCTAGCATGACTCTCAATGACGCTCAAATTAATTACACCACTACCGAAAAGGAGTTCTTAGCTATTGTTTTTGCATTTAAAAAATTTCGTGCCTATGTTGTCGGTTATAAAATTATCATATATAGTGATCATGCGACATTGAGACATTTGTTAGCTAAGGCTCAATCCAAGCCTAGGTTGATTCGTTGGGTGTTGTTATTGCAAGAATTTGATGTGGAAATCTTAGATAGGAAAGGGTGTGAAAACGTTGTTGCCGACCATTTATCTCGCCTTACATTGCTTTCGAGTTCTTGTGATTTGCCCAATCTTGATGATTCATTTCCTTACGAGCATGCTTTTCTTGTTGATCGTGTGCCTTGGTATGCCGATATTGCTAATTACTTGGCTAGTGGTATCTTGAATGATGACTTATCCTTCCAAGAAAGAAAGAGATTTATTTCCAAGTGTAGGTACTTTCTTTGGGAGGATCCGTACCTTTTCCATCTCGGGAAGGACGAGGTCATTAGGCGGTGTGTACCCGAGAAAGAACAACATGATATCTTGACCGCATGCGTCTAATTGTGGTGGCCACTTCGGAGGCCGGAAAACGGCATTCAAGGTGCTTCAAAGTGGATTTTATTGGCCAACGATCTTCAAGGATGCCCACGTCTTCTCGATTTCATGTGATCATTGCCAACGTTCGGGGAATATCGGGAGGAGGAATGAGATGCCCCTTAACACCTTTCTACCTGTCGAGATCTTTGACGTGTGGGGGATTGACTTCATGGGACCTTTCCCGGGTTCCCATGGCTTCGAGTATATCTTAGTTGGCGTGGAGTATGTCTCAAAATGGGTGGAAGCCATCCCGGCTAGAACTTGTGATGCCAAAGTGGTAGTGAAGTTCGTGCAAGATCACATCATCAACCGTTTCGGCTTCCCTCGAGCTATCATTAGTGATGGAGGTTCTCATTTTTGCAACCGGGTTTTTAAGAAGCTTATGGAGAAGAATGGGATCGCCCACAAGGTTGCTACGCCTTATCATCCTCAAACCTCCGGGCAAGTCGAAACGAGCAACAAACAAATCAAAGCCATCCTTGAGCGAACCGTGAATGCCTCTCGGCGTGATTGGTCTCAAAAACTCGGAGATGCGTTGTGGGCACATCGCACGGCCTACAAGGGTGTTCTAGGTATGAGTCCTTTTCGTTTGATTTATGGAAAAGCTTGCCACTTG